GTGTTATCTAACACACCAAGATGTGTTTTTGCAAATTAGTATGAGGTGTGTTCTCGAACACACCAAGGTGTGTTTTCATTCAAAAGGTGTGTTATTGAACACACCTTATATGCATCAAAGGTGTGTAAGAAAAGGTGTGTAAAATACAGGTGTGTTTCTTAGCACACCTAGGTGTGTTTTGCTACACACCATGGTGTGTTTTCTAACACATCATGGTGTGTTTTCTAACACACAAAGGTGTGTTTTCTAAAATTGTATAGGAAGGTGTGTAAAATGTACACACCTTGGTGTGTAATTAAACACACATTGGTGTGTAATTAAACACACCTTGGTGTGTAATTGAACACACCTGTTTTTAGAGTGTGGAAGGGCACTTTTGAATTGATATATACTAAGAGATGTTTGCAAAACATCGGGAGTTGAACTTCGCCTAAACATGTTTTCTATTTATCGGATGATAGAGGTGTGAGGGGGTTCTCCGCCAGGCGACTGCGCTCTTCTTGAAGCTCGATGACTGCATTTCTTGCGTTTTCTGAAGCAAATTCGTAAAAGAATTGCACTAACATTTCTGACATTTCGCCATTTCGCCAAGGCAATCCTTTAAATTGAAAGGGCACCTTTGTCTCCTTTGCTTCTCCTGGTAAAGGGCAACGGGGGCGGCTGCCCCTCCTTCCCTCCCAGTTCCGGCGTCCCTGTGTATGTGAATACTTGACTCGAACAATAAGACGAAATTAAACTTCTGAAATATAAAGAAGAAACATCAACTCAACGGAAATAGCTGCGAAAGGTTTTGAAACGCCATAACTTCGCCATAACGCGAATAACTTCGTCCAAATGGAATAAAGAAAAGTCATGATTTCGAAGTTGTCGCGAAAATAAACCCGCATATGTACGGATCTCTTTTTCATCTTGATTAAATTATAATAACACAATTATTGATCATGAATACAATTATGTATATTGATAAAAATCTTAATTGGAAACTTCAAATTTTACATACCAACAATAAAATTTCAAAAACCTTTTACAAACTGCGATACTCCTTAATAAGTATTGAGACATTAAAAGAAGTATATTATTCTTTAATATACACATTCTTGCAATATGGTATTATGACTTGGGGTAGCACAAGTCTTATAAAACTAGGTTAATTAAGTAAGATAAGAACTAAACAAAATACAGTAAGTGTGCATGTGGAATGCATATTTTTGAAAACCTGAATGGTTATCATTCGCATTAAATGCAGTCAACTTTCATTACTTTTTGATACTGCACTCAACCCCAGAAAAGCGAACGTAGAAACGCGAGTAGAAAACATAATCTCCACGCTGATGTTTAAATAAGCAAACCGTTGTGAAGAAATAACATAATATATAATGCTTGATTGCGGATAACGTAGATGATGGATACTGTAGTGACTATGGAATTGAAAGCATACCTTTTACAGCTTTCTTAAATAGCTTCTCCGAATATTCATTGGCCTTCAACAGTCCGAATAACATCAACACGATGTTGGATGACAACAGGAAATTACAAGAAAAGGACATCGTATGTGGTCTTTAAAGTCATAGCAATCTATAAACAACAAAGAGACATTGAGTTTATTGTTTCGTTCGCATCATTTCATTTGTGATTCACGTGGAGCAGACAAGACAGAGCATAAGTTAAATTGGTATGCATGTACGTAATTATATGGTCTTTATGTTCTGGATTACCGCGAAGCTATACGAACAGATATTGTGATTGGCTACTTGTAGTTGGTTACTACCAGTTATAAGTTATGGGTAACAATTGGTTAGAGCGCTGAACTGCAATTACAGGGCCGCAGGTTCGATTCCTGCCAGGCACCTATTTAGTCGCAATTTTTGTAACTGTTTTTGGTTAGCAAGTCTTGTAAATGTATATCAATTTCCACCTGACAATTTCCATCTAGAAGACCATCTAAAATAATTTAGATTTTATAAATTGAAAGTCAGTTTCTAGAATTGGCTTACAATCGGAAATTAAAAAGAAGTTTTCCAGAAAATATCCATACATGCATGTCCAATATAGCACTGGAATTGGCTATGAAGTTTACAATTGCATGACTATATCCATACTATATCCATATCATTTCCATACCATATGCGTGGTATGAAAATTGTAATTAATATAAAATTTGATTTCCCGACATTTTCCATACTATTTGCATAGTAAGCAGAACCGTAGAGAATGTGACGAAGAAGGGGGATTCTAGTATCGCACTTCCCGACCACATTTAAGTTGCTAATTAATATCTTCCTCCAAAATTGTTGGCGAATGGGGGAAGGTCGCAAAATTTTTTCTGGACATACGAAAATTGCGGTGCCCAAGTTTGGCACCGCATTATATTCCGCCTGTTAGTTTGTCCGTTTGTTAGTTCGCATCAATACGTTTCGTTAATCGCCTAGTAAAATTTCCTTGCACGTGCTCGAAATTTATTCATTTTTGCGGGAAAATTAATTAATCCGGGACTCTCAGGGACGATTGTTTGCTGGGCTTTATCTCTGGTTTTATGGATAAAAATACCACTGTTCAAAGCAGCAGTGGCGTAAATTTACTTTTTCCAGCGTGGGGGGGGGGGGAAGCCTCCTAAATTTCCGACAAAACTTTCAAATTTCCGACGTACCCCCCATTTGCACTCGAACAGACTGTTTTTAGCCCTCTTTTAGGTCAAAATTTCCGAAAATTCGTCAATTTTCGTGAAAGTGGGGGGGGGGGGGAGGCGCCGCCCCCCAGACCCACCAAGATATCCGCCACTTCGAAGCATTGTAAAACGTTGTATTTATGTTAATTGATCTCAAAATTGATTTCTATTCCAGCGATTCATGGGTTTTGAAAGACAAGCCGCTCAAAATAATTCTCATGTTTTGTGAATTCCTTTTTTCGAGGAAAGTTTTCTTTCCAATTAATCTTGGACTCTGTCTTATCTCTGGTTAAACTGGTTTTACGTGTCCAATAAGGACAAAAATACCACAGTTCGATTTAGCGCAAGAAATTGCACTTATGGATGTTAAAAGTATTACTAAACAACAGTATCCTAGCCATTTATGGCCTTTGAAAGTCAAGCGAAATTGTTTGTTGACAAATCGCTCAAAATTATTAAACTTGTTAAAAATGCAGTCGGTTTGATCCTTAACAACTTTGGTATCGTTGGTTTTCTCTTTTCGGCCGTCGACTTTTCGTCTCACTTTTCTCTTCGCTATGATAGTATTTTGAGCCCAAAATATTTTATGTTGAAGGCCTTAAAACGCAGTTATGATCCTAAGGTACGGACCAACTGACGGATGACAGGAAAATGTAGCGCGCTAAATATAACTTTACTTGTACGTACATGTAGGCGAAAACACCGGAAGTTTTATTTGTAGGCGGGCACCGCATTTTAGTACTGTGTCTGGTTGGTATTGTGAATCCGCTTGCGCTATTGAATATCCCGGCTCTTTAATAGGAGTGGGTGTTCACATGACCATGCTAGCTTAAATAGAATAGTCCATTAAATTAATCGTGATGTCTGTTATACTTGCTATTAAAGATCAAAATATCAATCCATGGTTATTTATAAAATTTAATTTTGTATATGATACATTATTGTATAAAATTTAATAACTGAAGAGTGATGGGATTATTCCTGAGTGAAAGTTCCTTGATAAACAACAAAAACCTGCTCACAGTAATACTCTCATACCGTTCATAGTTCTCTGTCTTCATTTGCGTTTCGTGTCTACGGCATTTTCGGCGATGTGAAAAAGTTTGCATCTATGCCGTACCTTTCCTGTGTTTCGTTAACTGTAAAGACCACTTTAAATTGGAGACGGAATTAATTAATTAAATAATTAAATAACAAAATTACGGTTAATTTAATAAACAATGAAAAATATCATAAACTAAAATAGTCGCTAAAATGTCGTCATCTTTTGTATTCCGCAGCCATTCCACCTTTTTTTTTCACCCATTTTTTTGTGACTTTCAAATCAAATAGCCTGTCATGAAGGCAGTTTTGAAGTCTACTGAAACAATTTCAAACTCTTCTAACAGTTAATAAATATAGAGATAATCTTGCCATGTGGGAGAACCCAATAGTAGAAAATAAAATACGGGATAAGTCGGCCAGAATTTGAGATAATCAATATATCTTTCTGCACGCGGTCGAAGAAGATCTAAAACAACCTGGAGTGATGGATATGTGGGGGCCAGTGGGTTACGTAGGGTACGAAGGGATCGATCGATAACGCGCGGTGGCTCGCACGCGGATCAATGATGCGTCCGACTATATCAATGGGGAGTCCGACGGTCTACGGAAAAAAAATGTGCGGCGGCACATAATTGAAAATTCAAGTCGCTGTTAATGTTGTTGCAATGCGTTGCTGCTAGATACAGAAATCACTTTATATATTTTCGGGTTTTTTAATAAAATTTTAAGGCAAGATATTACTTTCGCATGTGTTCTTAACACTGTTTTAACTGTTGTATATTTAGCACAGATGGATCACTGATCTAAAGATGGATCCAGTATGATGTGGTAGGGAGGGTGCTCTGCCAGCTCTGGTGCCGAGTTGTGTCAGTCATGTGCGCCACCCACCCATCAACTTACTTGACTACAACAAAGTCTTGCTTGACTACTGTATTGTAATTGTTGTTAACAGTTTACTT